TCCTCCTCCTCCTCCACCCACACACACACACGACCTCAACACAATCGAGTACGAAAATGTGAAGTGTTGACTAAAACAGAGCCGATGAAGCCCTGCACAAGCCCACTTACATGGCCGTCTCAACGCGCACCATCGATGTGACTCGTCAGGCATGGCTGTGAAATCTCCTTATCGAAAGTGGCGTTACAGCCGCATTACTTCTCCGACATGCGGGCGACCTTAAATCCTTTGTAATGCACCACGGAACCTGAAAGAGTTGTTTAACTTGCCTGAGAGTACTTTCGCAGGGATCTTGGGGGTTGGGTATTTGTAACCGCGTGTCAGTGAAGATGACCGGTGTCCGTTTCCCCACAACTGTTGGCGTTTCCTCGACTGTTGTCCACCGTTAGCACTCTCTCTGTCTGCTTCAGCACCACTATGTGCTCCTACCTGTAGTTGTTGAGAACGTCTGCGGTAATGCAGGCATGGTAGTATTACTCCCAACTCCAGACAGATCGTTTGCATATGTAGACGTAATTCTTTCCCTATATTATTAAGTATTCCGTCTGGACTTATCTTCTTCCTTATCAGTTGTACGGGTGTTGCGCATTCAAGTCACTTTTTTCTGTTATGTTCGCCTGAATCTGTACGATGGCGTAGTTGACAGCTTTGAAGCAGATACGTGGACAGTATACATGAAAAGGGTACGCGGACTCAACCACTTCCACCTCAGCTGTCTTTGCTGAATGCCGAAGCCAAGGCGACGGGACCGGATCCCGTAAGACCGGCCTGCGTAGTTATTTTTTATCAGCGCGTTTAAAGTATACGTATAACGTACGCTTTCTTTCGTGGTCAACTAGCTCGACTGGTTGGGACCTAATCGAATAATATCTGGGGTTGTATTGGTTGCGAGCTAAAAGGAATTTGTAGTTTACGTGACCTCCAAAGCCTAGCAGGAGCCTTTGACACAGTTACAAACATCATCCTCCTTGTATATATCCCCGTAATTATTAAAAAGGCACTACGGGTTGAAGACGTGCCAATGAGAAGAGGGGGCCGTATTCGGTCGTAAAAGGATTATAGGTGCGGAAACCTTCGGTTTTGTAATTGTTGCAGAGGAACGTTTTGATCGCAGGATACGGGACAGTGGAGCAATCAGACGAGATGCAATAAGGGCAGGCAGGTAAAACGGCCTTTCACCAGGCTACTTGCTAGAAGGACATTGTGAGAGGTTGATCAAAAAGCTGCAACTCGGCCCAACGACATTTACAGGGACCGCAGAGCCTAGTAATCCCGTGGCTGGAGAGCCGAGTTGCTCCTACAATGTTCCGCGGCGCATATTTGATTTCATGCATGCGAAAACAGTGAACAGTAAGTATAAGTCAAGACATATGTACACGCTAGTACAGCGACGAACAAAACTCCAGAGACAAGCGGTGCATGGAAATTGATTTTTGGAATGCCAGGACAGACGCCTGAA